ACTTTGCTCTGGCCTCACTGATGGACACGTTCTTCCTAGAACATCCTCCTTCTTAGATTTGTCTTACTTTTTACCTAGAATCTTCTTCTTGCTATTCAAATACCTCATTAGCAGAATTTTCCACATATGGTATAAAATAGTGCTTCCAATACAACACTTTCTCTCTAGCCTGCTTCATTTTTCATAAAAGTTCTTGTCACCACATGACATGTTACAGTCATTTATTTCCTGGCTCTCTGACTCTTCTCACTGGAAAGTTATGTCCTTGACAGCATACACCGTCTGTTTTGTTCCTGGTTAATCCTTGTGCCTGCACCTCCATATAACCTAGCACATAGTAGACAATTAAACAGCTGAGAGTTAATGAATAAATGAAGTAGTATACTTCCTAGATGAGAAAACTGAGACTCAAAAGTGATAAGTACCAAATCAGTATAACATAAAAAGTTAGGAGTTTAAGCTCTTTGGGGAGAAATGTGGGTTTAAATGTGGGTTTTGCTATGTCCTACTAGTGTAACTTACATATATTTCTTAAATTCTCTGTGCCTCATTTTCCTTATCTGAAAAATGTGGATTAAATGGTAACTAGTTTATACTGTGGCTATATAGAGTAAATAAATTATGTATATAATATGCCTAGTACAGTGCTTGACACACATTAACGATTCCACATATTTAGTTATTTGTACAATTATCTGTAGCTGCAAAACTATAAATGCAGTCTCGTCATCTTTCTGGAGAGATAGCAAGAGAAAGGTTAAGTTTATAAAATGCCTAAACAATAAAAACTATATTATTGAAGTAAAATGCCTAAACAAGGGCTGGTTTTAATATCAACTAATTAGTAGCTGCCTGATAGTAAGAACTAACTCTAAAATCAAGTAGACAAGAAAATGGTTGAGAAGGCTGACCAAATCCTACGCTATACTGCACGTTCAGTAACCGTGTCACAGCAGTGATGCCATATTGCTTTTCTTTGATTGAATCGTGGCATCACAGATGAGAACCAAGGGACTAGATAGATCATAGGTAGATAGGTAACACACACACATGCAAACATTCATACATATCTACATATGTAGATAGATACATCCATATCCGGATTCATACATGGGTAGAGAGATTTTTTAAAACTGCTGAACCCAAATCCAGTGATCTATGAAAGCAAAGGACAAATACAGTTATATAAAGAGTCTTTCAATGAATTTTCAGCAGATATAGATCTTTTTGTGCTGAAACAGAGGATCACTGTTGCCTTTCTTTTGTAAACACAAGTCTATGACTGGCTAAAGCGATTATATGAAAACTGAGCATTTTCATTCTGTATCTAGTTTTAGAAATTGAGGAAAATGTCTATTGTGAAATATTAAAGTTTCTGAACTTAGTTTACCTTTGAAAATAGTGTTGTGTGCCCCTTGAAGGTAACTGGTATTTTATTTTGGTTAAATATTTTCTAGCAGAACCCTGAATCAAGTGGCTTTGATATTTCCATATCAGCCTCCTGAGTAGCTGGGACCACAGGCATACACCCCCATGCAAGACTAATTTTGATATTTTTTGTAGGGACAGGGTTTCGTCATGTTGGCCAGGTTCATCTCAAATTTCTGACCTCGAGCAATCTGCCCACCTCAGCCTCCATGGATCATGGAGAGCACTTTTCACCATTCTGCATTATTTTGTTTGCTGCCTGGCGTCTCCTCAGGAGCCACCTGGGTTCTGGCCCCAAATGCCCCAGCCCAGCCCAGGGGAACCTGGGAGGTGCTCAATCCATAATCCTGGCTGCTCCCTGGCCAGAAGAGCCCTTGGTGGCTCTGTCAGCCCACCTGGGTGACCCTGGCCTCTGCCCTGGGGAAGCTCCCATCCCTCTGGATTGCCCATCTCCCCTAGGACCCCTACAGCCCCCGAAATGCGTTGACACTGAATCGTTCTGTAAACACCACGGGCCTTGACTCCATATCGCTCTCTAAACATCATGTGGGACCTCTTGCCCTTCTCCTTCATGACCTGTAGGGCAGGGCCAAGGGGAGGAAACAGCCTCAGAACACACAAAAGACTCCCTGCTCCAAACGGCAGTCATCCCTCCATCAGCACTTCTGGAAGGAAAGGAGGAAGATTTCCTTCTGCAGAAAGCTCCTTTTTTGCCTTGTTTCTGAAACCTGGGAGGGTCAGCAGAGCCCAGTGCACCTGTGGTACCTGAGTCACCGTCTGTGCCCAGGATGTGTGTCTGACCACAGCCCCCACCCCCAACCCGGGCTCGATGTTCCCTCCAGCTGGAGTCCTGGGCTCCTGACATGGCCTGACCTGTTTGTCCTGCCCTGGCCGAGTATGGGAGGGCCTTATCTTGTATCCCCCTGGGTTCTTAGCCTTGACTTCCTCAATGTTTAGAAGGAGTGAGCACGCCCAGTCCCTCACCGGTGGGGGGGAATTCCTCTGTAAACCCTGTGAGACAGAAACAGACAAAATGCTTTAGTGAGACAGGACACGGGGCGACTCAGGGAGGATCAGAGCCTGAGGGTTCTGGAAGTCTCCAGCCTTTTTCGGGTCCCAGGGAGAGGCAATTGAAAGTGTGAAGGAGCACTCAGGGTTGTGCACCCTGACCTGGACCTTTTCCTTTTTTCGGGTCACCAGGACACGTCCCTACCCCTGAGCTAGGGGTGGCCCAGGTCCTGGTATTAGGTTTTCTCCTAGAAAGGCGATGCTTGCATGGATGGGCAAAATGCTGGCAACCAGGCCTGGTGTCCTCTGGGTGAGGACAGGGTGCCACCAACCCGCTGAGAGGCAGACGGTGCCAGGTCACGGCCATGGGCACCTGTCTCCTCCTGGCTCTGTAGAGAACAGTCACGGGGCCACTCCCTCCCCATGTTACTTTTTGCTGTTCTTATATTTTGGCCAGTCTCCAAGCATCTTCAGCCACTTGTCGGTGGTTTTATTTCCTGATCTCTTTGCTATCAAATGAGCCAGGATGGAGTTAGCGGAAGTGTCTGGCCTCTGGCAGCAGCCCATGGATGCTGGGTCCTGGGCTCCAGGAACTGGAAGGAGCCAGGAAAGGGCAAACCCTGGGGGACTGAGACCCTCTGATAGAACGGGCATCAGCTGCCTGGACTCCTGATAGCAAGACTCAGCATCTTCAGACCACAAAAAGCTTGGATTATGGTTGTTTCCAATCCTTCAGCTGGGGTCCTAGAACAAGAAGGCAGTGACTTCTGAGCAAGACTGTGGTTCTTAGTTTGGGTTTTGGTTGAACCACCATGGGGCAGAGTCTTGGGTTCAGGTGGAACAGGAACTGCCATTTCTCCCAGTGACAGTGTCACTCCCAGTCACCACAACTTCGGCCCATAGGCTGCCCCCTCTGCCTTGCCCACCAGCCCTGATTCCCTATCCCTGGGGCAGCCTCACACGCAGCAGGCACAGGCTCTTATCTTCACCTCCAGGGCACTGACAGGAGTCAGCTTCGTCTCACTGTAAGGCAACTCAGACAGAGCTGAGGACATGTCTAGGCCAGGAACCATCTCCCTCCCTGAGAGGGCCCCAGCCCCTCCGATCCACCCTAAGTCTCAGCCCGGAGGAAGGCACAGGGAAGGAAGGCAAGGCCTCCCTGCGGAGCTGGGCACATGGTCCCCGTGAGAACCCTGGAAAAGAAGGAGTGCGAGGCTGGCCTGGCGGGGACCACTCGGGGCCTGTGAGAGGCCTCAGGCTGCACAATGGGAATGCCCCTCCTGGACTGGAGGCGGCACCCTCTGTGGGAGCTGAGAAAGTCCAGTCCTGAGACAGGATGGGTGCCGCCTAGGGTGGGTGGCCAAGCCCTGACTGACAGCAGTGCCTTGGGAGTGACCCCATCACCCACCAATGTCCAGAGAGCCTGACCTGAGAGCTGCCCAGTGCCCTGAGGACGCACCTGGAGCCCTTCGCACCTGACACTCCCCACAGGCCTTGCAGGGTCTGACCTCCCAGTGTGCACCTGTCTCTCCCTGCAGCCTGGCCATTGACCCTGGCTGTTCCCCATCTTCCCCCATCCTGCCCAGCCCAGAGACCATGACCCTCTTTCCAGTTACCCTGGCCTTCCTGTGACCCTCTTCCTGTCAGCGCCTAGGCATGAGACCCCCAGGTGTCTCACTGGGCTTCCCAGCCTGCTGGAGAGAAGCCTGGGTTGACAAGGGTGACCAAGAGCACTGCCAACAGTGGGGATGGCCCCACCACCCCGCCTCCAGCCAAAGCTGGCTCTCAGGGCAGTCAGCCTTCATCCCTCAGCCTCCTTCCAGCCACTGCAGCAGCCAGGACATGGGGTGCCCGGCTGTCCTACCTGCACCGACTCGGCCCCCCCATCTACCCTGCACAGTGCTGACTGAGCCAGCGGGAACCAGAGTCTCTGGAGGGCCACGCAGAGCCTTGGGGACTGACCAAGTCCCCCCACTGAGGGGTCCCAGGTGTGCCACTGTTCCCTGCCTGCCCCATCTGTCATCCTCCCAAGGCTATCAGCTCCACCCTGGGCTGGCTTGGTTCAGGTGCATCCCAGAAGTGGCAGGTCTCATGGGCTCACCCCGCCCCTCTTCCCCAGACTCCTCCCTCTCTCAATCCTGTGAGTCCTGAGGGGCTAACTCCAGGCTGGGCTCCCCTTACCAGGCCCAGATGCCTTCCCTGCACCACTCCCGGGGCCTTCAGCTGCATGCTCTGTTACTCCCCAGCCTCATTGCGAGATGCCAAGGCCAGGCCCTCCCCTTCTTCTTCCCCAGCCTCCCACGGTCACAGCCATTGATGTCCCCATGCCCCTCCCTACAGTATGCCTCAGCTGGGTCCCCTGAGCCCTTGGAGACCTGCTACACAATGGCCCTCAGGCCTGGCCAGGGGCCCCCTAGCCTGTGGCCACCACCCCCAGATCTCATCAGGGCAGCCCCCAAGGGGACAGGGCCAGACCCACAGGCTGCCCCCTCTTCTCCTGCTGATGTGGAGACCTAAGTGCTGAGAGCTCAGGGGTCAGACCCAGCCCCCTCTCTGTCCCACCTGCTCTCCCAAGCTCCCTAGATGGGCCTCAAGGCTCTGCCCTAACCCTGACCACGGGCTGGACCTGCAGGAGAGGCAGGGAGGAGTTCTGACCCTGGAGAGGAGGTTGGCCAGAGCCAGGGAGACATGTCCTGCCTCAGAGAATCTTTCTAAAAACAAAACCTGTCCCTGAGGTGAGACCGATGTGTCAGGGGTCAGAGGACTCACCACACAATTCCGAGGCGATCAGTGAATTTCCAGATGTCAACATGCTTATGCTCCATGTCCACTGTTGACCCAGCTCCGTGTCCCTGTGACCCAGAGGGGGCCAGGGAGAGGGGGCCAAGGTGAGGCGCTTGCGGTCCTGAGGGCGTGGACAGTCTGTCCCGGCCCTGTGATCTTAAGGATCCCAGGAGCCTTTGACCAGGCACAGCGCGGGAGGAGAGGCCCCACCTCTCTTGAGGGAGCGGCCCCACCTGTACCTGCTCATACTTTTCAATAATGTCCCCTCACCCATGCACATGTAGGATATCCTCATCCATCACCATCCCACAAGACCAAGTCATCCAATGGCTCTGCTGTACCCGAGTGCCCAGAAAACACCCAAACCACTCCTGCCACACCCCTAGACACCCTCCGGCCCGAGGAGCCCCATTCTACCACCCCTTCCAGGTGACAGGGGGCCAGACCCAGTGACCCCACCTCTTCCTCAGTCTCTGGAGTCCTTGCATCCCACCTGGGGTGGGCTCCTTCCTGAGGACTTGAGCACAGGGCAACCTGGAAAGAGAGGCCTATTGTCCTCAAGTGCTCTCAGGTGGATACACACCTGCCCCAGCAGGGCAAACGGCGTCCACCTGTCGAGTGTCAAGGGCTCACAATGAGCTATTCCAGTCACCTGGGGCAGATGGGGTCAGGACTGGACATCTGTATAAGATCAATCTCCATGAAGATGCCCAGTTTTCTGTAGGAAGCAAGACATCTGGTGACTGCTCCGTTCTACTCCGGTTCTCACGCACTCTGGCCGGGGGAGACGCACTCCCCCAGGACCCCATGTGTCCATTGGGTCCCACAAGGATCATCAGTGACCACACCTGAAGTCTGAGTTGGCGAGACCTCCTCCCAGCTTAAGGCACAGAATTGGACTGAGAACCCCCGCCTCCCCACCACCCATAGGGCCTCCATTTTAGTGACTCTTCCAGGGTCAGGCTCTGCCCCACTGAAGTCTGGAACCCCAGGGAGATTTGGAATCCAGGGCAGGGAGGCCGCAGAGGTCAGGGCTTGAGTCCAGCACTGCACAGGGCAGGGCTGAGAGCACATCCCAGGCTCACATCTGGGTCCCTGGGCCAGTATCGGCTCCTCTGACCCTAGGCAGCTCACTTGTCAAACGGGTGCATTTGGGGACAACACCCACCCCACAGAGTTGCTGTGAGGATGCAGGAAACAACCGTCTACACAGTCAGTGCAGAATGGGCACCTGGTGAGTGCTCAGGGATGACCCTTCTCGGCACCTGCCCAGAGGACAGCACTGCCCACCAGGTAGCAACTGTCCCACGTCGGCAGGGAGGGAACACAGCAGGTCACACTCACCTGAGTCTGCTGATCCAGCTGTGCCTCTCACTTAGGAAAACCTCCTCTATGCAGAACCAGACACCGCTGTGTGTCTTGTCTCCAAGAGCTCCAGATACAGAGAGGGCAGGCAGGTAGGCGGGAGGGTATGCAGCACCAGTGACATTGTGGAGTCATGGCACCCATTACAGACCCAAGCAGGGCCTGGAGTCAGCATCCTCCCATCCCTGAAGTTTCAACATGCACGTGTGCAGCGTGTTTGTGCAGGTGAGCGTGCACATGTATGTGAGTGCACTAATGTGTGGATGCATGTGTCACTACTCTGGCCAGGCCTGGCTGCCCAACTCATGTATGCACCCAGATCCTTGTCGCTGTCACCACCCCCACCCTAGGACCCGTAGCTAGCATCAGAACATCTATGTGTCCTCCCCAATCGCAGACCTCCCAATCTGGGGCAGTCCTGGGGATGCAGATGGGGGATGGGTGGCTGACATTTGAGGGCAGAGGGCAGAGGGCGTGCCCCTTCCTTAGCAGGGGACTCAGCTAGGGTGTAACGTGCTAGGTCTGTGTGGCAGGGCTGGATTCCATACACCACCTCACCTCCTCCTCCTAGTAACCCTCTGGGGTGCCATGACTCCTCCCTGCTATGGATGGAGGAAAGTGATTGATCTGCCGGAGACATAAAACTACATGATCCTTCTTTCCACAATAAACTGGAGGGTCAAAACAGGCAAGAGTAGGTCAAGGTCTTTTAAAAGCCATACCTGAAAGGTTTCCAATAACAGTTGATTTGGTGGTAACTCAATCACACAAACAACTGCAACAAAAGACTCAACTATCAGAGATTTTCAGGATCGCCTCAAAAACACCATCTAACATTAGGGAGTTCAAAAAGGCATGAAGTTTCAGAAATCAAATTTTATTTAAACGTCATTTGTATAAACTGGTAATTTAACACTATTAATAAATCCTAGGGCAGAAGACAGATTAGAGACCCCGGGGCACAAGTGCTGAGTTTGGAAGATTTGATGCTGTACCCTTTGAAGCCCCCACCTGGTCCCCACGCCCCTTGCCTGCCTGTTAAGAAGAGCCCGTCCCAGGGAGCAAATCAGGGGCAAATAGCCCAGAAGCCCAGTAGCAGAGAGACCTCCATGCCTGAAGGAGGAGTCCACCTCTGGGAGCAGGAGGAGCTGCTGGAACCCTTCCTCACAGGCTCCGTTTCCTTCTCTCAAGCACCTCCAGCTTGCAGATAGACAGCCCCAGCACCAGCAGAGTGAAAAGGTCCCGATGCAGCAGGGCTGTGACTCTGGTAAATAAAAGAAGCCTCTCTTTAGTGAGATAGAGGAACTCAGGCTGCACACCGTGGTCTCCGACACCAAGGCTCGCACCATGCCCAGGACTAGGGGCAGCGTGGGAACTGCTGGCTGGAGCCTTGCTCGCAATCTCCTCTCTGCCACGTCCATCTCCAGCTACGCTCTCAGCTCCAGGGTTGAAGCCAGTGGCTATAGCAGGTGGCATGAGGTCTGGCAGCTCCTCGCTTGGCTGGTCTTTGGCTATGCCGGTGCAGGGCCCGGAGGGCTCTGGAGCTACCTCTAGCTGCAGTGCTGCCTCTGAATGGGGCCTTCCCCATGCTGTGGACTCTGGCTCCATAGTGGGCACTGGAAGTTCCTCTCTCTCTGCACTTGCGGCAAGAACTGAAAAAGAAGAAAGGGTCACTGACCAGCTTTTCTATGTCTGAGCCCCAGAGTTCAATCTCTGCTGACCAGACCCCCACTGACCAGACCCCTGAGCGATGGTGCTCAGAGTCCCCTAGCAATGGCCCCTCTGAGTCCACAAACTCCTCCTTCCCCTCATCAGCACCGACAGGTGACTGAGAGTCTTCTCAGGACTGGACCCCAACTCCAGGACACAGGGAGGGGCAGTTGGTCCCAGGTTCTGGGTGTCGAGCTTCATGCTTGCACCACAAGGTCCTCTGGGCCCATCTCAAAGGGGGCGGTGATGTGACCTGGCACACCTGGACACACTGTCTGGGCCTATCCCTGAGCCACACAGCCAGAGGAACAGGAGGATGTTTGTCAACCCAGGCACCCCACTCTGCTGGGTCTCCCAGGGTCCTTCCCATGGAGGCCAGATCCAGAGACACAGCACAGAGACCGCAGGGTGACCAGCCCAGAACCCTTGAGACTAGGCCAGGGATGACACGAGGACTGTCCCCAGACAGCCAGAAGACCCTTTGCTAGTTTCTTGGTACTTCATTTCTCACCAGCTACCCTTCCCCCACCAGGAATCCCGCTCACGCAGAGTCAATGAGGAGAGGAGGATGGTCACAGAATCCATGGAAAGAAAGAAAACAAAAGATGGGTGGGGAGAAGAGTTGGGAGTGTAGCGTTGTAAGGGTCCTACACTATGCGGATTATTTGAGGGTTGGCTGTGATTAATTAAAGGTGTGTCTTGTACACAACCTTTACACACACACACACACAGAGAGTCTTGCTCCATCACTCAGTCTGAAGTGCAGTAGCCCAAACACAGCTTACTACAGCCTTGACTTCCTAGGCTCAAGCAATCCTCCCACCTCAGCCTCCTGAGTAGCTGGCACTGCATGTGTGGGCCCCCATGCCTGGCTGCTTTTGAAATGGTTTCTTGTAGAGACGGGATCTTACTGTGTTATCCAGGCTGGTCTGGACCTCCTGGCCCCAAGCAATCCTCCAGTCTCAGCTGGAAGTGTTGGGATTACAGGCATGAGCCACTGCACTCGGCTTACACATGTTTTTAAGAGGCGTAAATATGAAGGTCAGTGTTGCCATGAAGTCAGGCAGGGGTTGGCAAACTATGGCCCACAATCCAGATGCAGTCCCCCTCCTGTCGTAGTGAATAAAGATTTATTGGAGCCACAGTTCCTCCCCTGTGTTCACTTCTTGTCTGTGGCTGCTTTGGGGCTGCAGTGGCAGAGCTGAGTAATTGCTGAGTATGTGCAATAAAGACCACAGGGTCGACGAAGCCCAAGATGTTTACTACCAGGTCCTTTGCAGAAAAATCTTGCTGAGCCCTGGGGGGAGGGCAAGGTGGCAGCGGGGAGGCCACTGGGGAAGCTGGTACAGTAATCCAGGCGAAAAATGATGGGGGCTCAGATTAAAGCGGTCATGACAAATGGATGGAATCAGGATATATTTTGGGGATAGGACCAACAATACATGGATAAAATGGACAGTATTTAGGTATTTAGAGTTTCAGATTTTCTTTCTGCCAAAGGATCCCTCTCTTAAAAAAAATTACACAAAAGATCAATTAAAAAAACTGACCAAAAAAACATGTCAACAAGATTATTTGTGTGATTGAAGCTGGGGTTGAGCCTCGGTACCTTGTGTTTTCAGCACCCCTAACACCTTGGCTGTTCCAGAGGCACCCTACAGAGCCCCTTGGGTTCAGACGAGCAGAACTTGAAACCACAGATCGGAAGGAATAGAAATCTGCGCATCTTTCACACAAGCCGTAACGTTCTAAGCCGCATCTTTGCAGCACACTGACGTGGGGCTACTTCACCCACAGCCAGCAAGTGATTGCACCAGTGCTGGGATTTGTGTCCACCCTGTTATAAGAAGGCAGCTGCCTGCGTGAGGCATAGCGGTGAGGAAACAATGCCACCCAGATCTCACCATTAGCTGTGTGGACTGGCTGTACCATGGGCCAGACACATGTCTTGGGCAGACACTTTTTAGATGCCAACTTGCCTGTAGACAAAGAT